GCACTAGGGGCTGGCATTGCCAGTTCATAAGCTCGCCCCACGGCTCTCTACTTAGTGTTTGCAGTTGAAACTGTGACATGTCAGCTTCCTGCCCCCTTCCTCCTCCCCTGCCTGCCCCCTTCCTCCTCCCCTGCCTACCCCCTTCCTTCTCCCCTTCCTTCCTCCCTGCCTGCCCCTTCCTCCTCCCCTGCCTGCTCTCCCTCCTCCCCTGCCTGCCCCCTTCCTCCTCCCCTTCCTTTCTCCCTGCCTGCCCCCTTCCTTCCTCCCTACCGTCCCCTTCCTTCCTCCCCTGCCTGCTCTCCCTCCTCCCCTGCCTGCCCCCTTCCTCCTCCCCTGCCTTCCTCCCTACCGTCCCCTTCCTTCCTCCCCTGCCTACCCCCTTCCTTCTCCCCTTCCTTCCTCCCTGCCTGCCCCTTCCTCCTCCCCTGCCTGCTCTCCCTCCTCCCCTGCCTACCCCCTTCCTTCTCCCCCTTCCTCCTCCCCCTGCCTGCCCCCTTCCTCCTCCCCTGCCTGCTCTCCCTCCTCCCCTGCCTGCTCTCCCTCCTCCCCTGCCTGCTCTCCCTCCTCCCCTGCCTGCTCCCTTCCTCCTCCCCTGCCTGCTCTCCCTCCTCCCCTGCCTGCCCCCTTCCTCCTCCCCTGCCTGCTCCCCAGCTGCACCTTCCCTGTCATTATGGTCACTGAAACCATAAGCTCAAATAATTCTCTTCCTCAGGTTGTCCTTGGCCATTTTGTCACTGCAGCAGGGAAGTGACTGCCATCCATATCTGTCAACCCTTTCTTCAGGATTTGTCATTGCCTCAGAGGATGGGCCTCCTGTCCAAAGATTATGAAAATATTCAGTACTTTCCATGCTTTAAAAAAAAAAAAAAGGGAAAAGGAAAAAACAACCATGTAGCATTTAATAGCATTGGTCTGCAGCATACAGGTTTTCTGGGATTTCTTCCCAAACGGATAGCCAGCTGTCTTTACCTTGTTTGCTAAATGGTCTTTATACAGATTCCACCTCTGGGAGCTATCTCTCCTCCCCCTTCTTCTGTCCCTTGTCCATATCCTCTTCCAGAGAGCACACAGGGTCTTGGAGGCTTTGACCATGTCTACTCCTGAGAGGAGCAAGTGTGATTAGCACTAAGCCAACGGCCCTCATTGGCTTTGCTTGTCAACAAGATACAGCCTAGAGTCATCTGAGAAGGGCGTCCCAACTGGGGGATTGTCAGTCTATGGGGGACTGTCATCAATAATTGACATAAGAGGTCCCAGCCCATGGTGGGCGGCACCATTCCACGGAACAGTGGAAAGCTAGCTAAGTATGAACCTGGGAGCCAGCCAGCCAGCCAGCCAGCAGGGTTTCTCCGTGGTCTCTATTTCAAGGTCCTTCCTTGACTTCCTGTCCTGATTTCCCTCAGTGATGGGCTGTGTCCTGGAAGTGTGAGCCAAACCAACCCTTTCCTCACCCAGCAACAGAAAGGAAATTAGAACATTACCCAAATCCCCTGACTGAAATCCCAGTTCCATTTCCATAACCCAGAAGGACGTGGGAGGAAGGTCACAATCTTAGCCAATCACACCCGATCTATCGTTCTGAGTGGTCTCAGGTCCCACAGTGCAAGAAGGGGATAGGACATGCTCCACCCTCACTTCCAGAAAACATGGGCCCCAAGACCAAGGGTGAGCTCCGGGCCTCTGAGGAAAGCGTCTGGGACCCTTGCCCATCGCTGCAGTGTGCCACTCACGTGACTGCTTCTGGTCCCTTCATCACTCTATCATCCAGTGAGGGCTCTCCATAGGAACAGAGCCTCAACACTCGCTGTCTGGGAATTTGCTTTCCTCTCTCATGCTGATGCTCACGGCTGGCCATTCACCGGAGTTAGCCTCTGGGGATTCTGGGACTGACCACACCCTAAATATTGTTTTGGAAAACCTAAGGGTTTGGTTCTGTGAACTGAAAACCCAGAATGCATCCAGCTCCCCTTTCTTCTCGAGAGTTTCAGGGTCACCAGTCCCACTCACAGACAAGTCACTCTGAAACCCCTGGGAAAACCTCACACATATCCGTGGACAGTAGCTCACTAAAAAGAACACACGTGGTTCTGAGATGCCGTCACCATCCAAGAGACTTAGTGCTCTCTCTGACTTGGCGCATGGTTAGCTCCTCTCACCTCGTGGGGTTGGTGTCTCATTATAACACTGTAGATGTTCATGTGAACAGCTCTTACAGAATTGTGTACCACACAAAAACACTATTCTCCCAGACGCTGGGGACAAAGGCAGGGCACCGGTTTCTATGTTAATAACAGTTAAGGAGAGGGGTGGGTCGATTCAGTGGTAGAACAAATGCTTTGCATGTACAAGGCCCTGGGTTCAATCCTCAGCACTAAAAATAAAAAGCAAGAAGACAGAAATGTGTTCTTTGCCAAGCTCAAGCTAAGGTCAGCTGTTGGTACACAACAGCCAGGGGATTGTCTTCTGCCAGTTTGGCAGGTCCCACAGACAAGGACACAGCACAGGACACACATGGACTAGTATGAGGCAAACGAGCAACTCAGCAGGCAGCCCAGGGACCAGGGCTAGCTCAGCACTTAACATTCACATGGTTTATTCTCGGGCCCATGTGACCCGAGAGGATGCCAATGCCAGAAACCATGACTGCATCACACAAGGCTTCCCAAACCTCCACCCTGTGGGCAGTGTCTTTCAACTCTAGGCCTAAACATGTCACAGGCCATGGGCTCGCTGCCCTGCTTTACAAAGCATGTATGGAGAGAGTGTCTCTCTGGCTGGTGGCCTGTCCCTCCCATGCTTTCCTGATCCCCTCAACCCAGCCTGCATGTGCTTTCCTGTGTGGTTACTCCCAACAGTTCTGTGTCTTCCATCCTTCCCAGGGAACTCAGAGAGAAGTGGTTGCCTCATTTTCCATATCCCAGGAGATTAAACCATCTGTTCAACAACAGAAAGTCAAGTCACTGGGCAAAGGGATTCTGTTTTCAGTATGTCCCCTGAACTTACTCACAGCGTTAGTAACTGCTTTAGAAGGTAGACTTGTTCTCACGGTCCACAGATATTTTCTGAACATCTATAATGCAGTCTGAGCACTGTACTAAGCCCCAGAGAGATAGAGTGCGGTTCACATATAAACAGAAATCTCTGTCCTATGTTATAGGGAACAGGCACGAGGCAGCTTAAGTGGCCTCATAAGAAAACAGATGTCAGCTTGGTGACAAGGCCGAATGTGAGCAGGGAAGAGGGATGAGGAGGGTCAAGGCAGAGGCTGCAGGAGGGTCTCAATGATAAGGTGATGATTGATGTACTGGAGGAGGAGGCCATGTGGATGTCTGGGGAAAGGAGATTATCTGCAACCAGCAAGGAGGCTGGAGGAGAGGAGACTGGGCAGGAGGAGGTGGGCACGAGTGACAGGTGATAGAGCATGGGGGACAGCTGAGCTATGGGGAGGAGAAAGGTACAGGGAGGTGATGGGAGATGTCATTCTGTAAATACGTTTCTCTTATTGGCTAATGAATAAAGCCCTGTTGGCCAATAGGAAAGCAAGATAGGCGGGACTAGGAGACAAGGAAGATTCGGGGAGAGGTAGGAAGAAAGCCAACATGTAGGACCAAGAAAGCAGAGGTCCGGATCCTCTCTCAGGTAAGCCAAGACCATGTGGAAATACTTAGATGAATAGAAATGTGCTAATATTTAAGACAGAGCTAGCCAATAAGAAATGCTAGTAACAGGCCAACAGTTTTATATCTAATACAGCATCTCTGTGTGTTATTTGAGACTTGCGCGGCTGTGGGACCAGGCTGGCGGGAAAGCCGCTAGTAACAGGGAGGTTTTATACAGAGGTGTGTCAGTCCCTAACCAAGGATGGACTGTAGGAGACCAGGGCAGAGACAGAACACTAGCGAAGGGGCCACTTCTACAACCTGAGTGACAGATGGCAGCATTTAACCCAGGGCTTTGGAAGCAAAGGTACAAACATCACTAAGACTGGCACTAAGGGGCACATGTTAGGTTTGCTTCAGTGCTGGATGTAAAGGTTATAAGAAAAGGAATTTAGGATGACCCAAGGCTTTTGACCCAGGCTATGGAGGACAGAGTGGCTGTTTGCTGAGATTATCGCAGCACGCCAGAAAGGTGCCAAGGTGTGAATGTGGTTTGTTCTCGATAAAACTCACCCCGGCGCTTAATGTGACAATGGTGCTTAAAGGTGGGGCCTTTGGTGGGTGACTGGGGTTCTGTGACTGAATGCTGGCACCTATATAGGAGGACAACAGCCCAGGGAAGCACACACTGAGACGTCTGTTAGGCACTGAGGTAGGCGGCTGGACGGAATCTGGCTGGACAGAAATTGATGGTATCATCAGCATAGCTCCATGAGTCTGGCTTAGCCCCCAGGGTAGGAGTGTAGACTAAAGGAGGCCTGAGCCCTTTGGAAGTTAGAGAGATGAGGTGGAAGTCAATGGGAAAGAGGAAACTGGGCCAAGACCCTCGGAGCCAAGGAGTATGTGTTAAGCAGGTGGGTAGCAATGACCACACATGGCTTATCAAGCGTCCCTAGTGATAGAGACAGCTACAGCCGATACAGGGTCAGGTGGCCTTGTAGTCTGCACAGGATCTTGAGTCTCTGCCTCAGCATCCACTTATCTTATCCACCAGTTTTTAATCCCTGGCTGTCAGTGTTCCTCTGAGAAGCTTCACAGAGGCTCTACTCAGAGAAATGCATTCACACGCACGGGACTGCCGATAGCCGTTGGGAGTTCCCAGAGGCACCGGAAGCCACCCTGGGAGATGAATTTATAACCATCCCCTCCTCATCCCTTCCAAGGTCTTATGGCATCAATGAAATTGTCTCAATACAGAAACGCGTGTCTTTCTTTGGGCCTCCCCTGGTGTGTCTCCAAAGTCAGTTTGACTTCCCGAGCCTTGTGAGTAGACGCCAGGGTGTGGAATACAACACGCAGCTCAAAGCTGAAACCATTATAGGGCACAAATGGAGGACTCACCACCATCTCCTGGACCTGAAACATCTCTGCGCCACCAGGTGACAGCCGGCTGGGGAAGGAGATGCTGACAGATGCCCCGGGAAGGGTGCTGGGGCCCGTGTTGTAGACCTGTGGGTTAGAGCACACAGCAAGTGTCAGTAAGACAACAGTCCTTCATGCCATGCCACCCTTCCTGTGCCCTAAGGGCTCTGAACCAAACACAGAAGCATCTAGGATGTGGCTTTATTTTTTAAGATAAGCTTTTAATTGAAACACAAGGACACCATTTAGATCCAACGTTAATTGAAATAGAATATTAAGTAATAGGGGAGTTCTAACAAATTGAGGATTTCCTTATCCTCTTCTTGCTAAAAATATATTTAACTTTAGATACTTTTACTCCCAGAGGACAGTTGGTAGGAACCCAGATATCAAACAAACAAACAAAAAGACCCCCAAACAACAACAAAAACAAACCAAAACCATTCAGGGTTTGTCGCACTCTAATGTGACACCAGAACTATCTCTGGGGTGTGCTCAAACACCGATGGGTGGTGTGGGGAGAGCCACGCCCAGACTCTCTGATGCAGTTGGTCTGAGTGGGGGTACACCTACATTTCCCAGGAGACACTGCACCCAGGAGTAATCTCTGAGGTCCAGTGGCCTGGGCCAAACTCTTTTCTTTTCAGTTTGAGATAATGATGACCTTCAGTGACCACGGGGCTGTCCCCGAATGAAGTGATCTGATTTCTACAAAGGGCTGGGGCACGTGCCGCCCGGGTCCTTCTCCCGACACAGTGTGAGGACATCTGTGCATCTCCTCTTGAGCTCAGTGTCTGATCCTGCCCAACCTGGTCCCCGTCCCTTCTCCACCATCTTCGTCTGTATCTCAAAGCCAAGCAAGAAGGGGGAAGAAAGAGCCACAAGGGGACGGACGCGGGTGAGGTAACAGCAAAGCCTGCAAATTAAACCCAGGGCAGAAAGAGAGCACCAGGAGCAATTTAGAAAACGGGTACAGTTATAAGAGTGGAACGTAGATTAATGGTTGCCCAGGTGAGTTTATAATGTATTGCTCAGGTGGACACATTATAACGATCACAAGTGGGTGGGGTTGGAATCCACATGCTGTAACAGAGTAACAAAGACTGGAATGCAGAGTTCCACATTTACTGAATGTTTGAACCCACTGTTGTGATCTATTGTTCAAGAGAAGATTCCTTCTGTAAGATTGTCACAACTGACAATGTACCTAACTACCCAAGAGCTCTCTCGCACCATTCAATAAAATTGTGAATGCAGGGGAAACATTCCCTGAGGAAATTAAAGCGCTACCCCAGTGAACACATGTCTGATGAAGTGAACAGGCTGCGAGCAGAGATGCACTTTGGAGACACAGGAGACCCATGTTTTCATGCTTGCTAACAGCACTCAGTCTACAGCTCATGGGTGGAGGACTGGCTTCGGCTCTCAAATCTTACTGCTTCGGAGTTATATTCCACATGGGGAAAGCTGCTCTAGGCTGATTCCTCTGGTGAGTCTTCATTTCTGTCCCTGTTGCTGTGGTAGAATAGACTTACAGAGACAAAGTAGAGATGGTGTTTATTGTAGCTCATGATTTCAGGTTAAAGCATACTGTCTCAGAGAAGAGACCTGGGAACGGCTAGTCATTACCACGTCTATATGCAAGAACAGAGGACAGTGAGCAAATGTATGCAGACGAGCACTCAACTCCCTTCCTCTCACACAATCCAGGATCCTCTGCCCAGGGAATGATGTCACCTACAGTGGACAGGTCTTCCCATATCACTTAACAATACGAAGGTAATCTCCCAGAGACATGTCCAGTGGCCAACCTAATTATAGACAATCACCCACTGAGACTCAGTCCCCAGGTTATTCTGAGACTGTGTCTAGTTGACAATTAAACTAACTGCCCCATGTCCAGGGACAGTACACTGAAAACCAGTGGCAAGTCAGACACCATCCACCCATGCATTCACTTGTCCATCTTTCCTCCCGCCGCCCACCGACCCACCCATCAGTCCTTTCCTTCTATCCTCTAAACAGGCACTAATATTCAGTATCTGTATAAATGTGGTATTTTATGTAGCTAGCATTCCTCTTGCCTTTTTCAGTCAGACCTTTTCTTTTCTTTTTTTTTTTTACTTTTTATGACACTGTCTGGGTCATTTGAGCCTTTCTAAATAATTCTCTTGTCTTCATCCTGTATTTCAAGAGAAGAAAGGATGTAAATCATGAAAATAAAATAAATCTACCTGGTGTTTGCTTCCTATCCAGCCGGGAGGCGCAAAGGGAAACAATAATCGGGCCCTGAGACGTGCTTTTGGAACGCGGAGGCACAATCACAGCTGTCACTCTACAGTCTCCACAGTGAACCCTGAACCCTCTTTCCTGGTCTCCTCCGTAAATCAAGGGCAGGGGTGACAGCGGGCTTAGCTAGTCAAGGACGCATCCCCTCTAAGCTGGAAACATATGTTATCCATCTTGGTTCCGGGGCTCTCCTTGCCCAGAGGACGCTCTAGTTGGAGGGAGATTATTGTCTGTGACCACCCCCCCAAACGCTTTAGCTTCATCCTCGGGGCCCTTGCCCCATCATTATTTGTTATGCCTTATGTCCACTTCGGAGGAACCACAGACAAGGAGATGGTTGTTTGGCCAAGGTAGGGACTACCACACAGGGAGACTCTCCTTTCCATGCAGGAGGATGGGCAGGCAGGGGAAAGCCCTGGAGGCCGAGCCCAGGACTGGAGATGCTCACTGAACAAGAGAGGCCAGTTCTTCTTGTGTTTTCCAGTTAATGCCAGTCCCCGTCCAGGCTTGCCTCCCCTAGCTCTGGGACCATGCTGCACATCCAAATTTCCCTGTACTCACCCCTTAAACGACACAGACTAGCCAATGCGGAGGCTCTCTTGGCGTCACACCCACTGCTCATGTTGAAAAGCTAGCCTTAGAATCCCTATTCTCAAAGCAAAGACCAGCAAACTAGGCCTCACAGACCGAACCTGGCCTAGTGCCTACTCTTGTATGGCATGCAAGAGATGGGAGACGTCATTCTGTATATGTTTCTCATACTGGTTAATGAATAAAGCACTGTTGGCCAATAGGAAAGCAAGATAGGCGGGACTAGGAGACAAGGAGGAAAGAGGAAGTAGGAAGGAGGGTCAAGATGGAGAGTCTGGAGAAGGTAGAACCACCAGCCGCCTCTCGCTGGTAAGACCACGTGGAAATACATAGAAATGGGTTAATAATTAACACAGAGCTAGATGATAAGAAACTAACACTGGGCCAACAGAATTATATCTAATACAGAGTCTCAGTTTGTTATTTGGGGCTGGTGCGGCGGGGGGACAAGACTCGGCGGCGGGCAGAAAAAACTCTACTCGTTACATGCAAGCTAAGGACAGTTACATCATGAAATTTCTGGGGGGGGGGGAAATCAGAGTAACATTCCATGGCGCATAAAAGATGCATGCAAAGTAAATCTCAATGCACAGTTGAAACATCAATATCTTTCCTTGTGACTACCTTTCAGCAGGTATCACCAAGGCTGTGCAGCCCACAGGGCCTGCAATAGTTACTTTCTGGCTCTTTCAAAAAAGCCTGCAACCTCTGAGAGAGGGACAATGGTCTTCTGATGTCTATAGATCACACACCCAGTAGACCCGTGGAGCCGATGCCTAGGAAGCCCAGTCCCCCCGGGGCCCTCTGCTGGGCCAGTGCACTTCCCAAGGTGCATGGACTCACAGGGTCTACTCTCAGAAAACTTCTGGATGGCTGGTCCCCACGGGAAGAAGACTTCAACTAAGTCAGCGTGAAAATCCCGGAGGAAAGGGACCTGCCGAGTCCTGGAGGCTCTCCTAAAGCTCTTAAAGTGGGGGATTATGGCGAATACAAGCCTCCTGACAAAGCTCTTGTCCTCAACCTGTGGGCTGCAACCCCCACAAGGGTCACGTGTCAGATCATGCACATCAGAGTCACATTACAAAGATTCATAACAGCAGCAGAATTACAGTTATGAAGTAGCAATGAAGTAATTTTGCGGTTGGGGGTCAGCGCAACATGAGGAACGGTATTAAAGGGTCGCAGCGTTAGGGAGGTGGAGAAACACCGTTCTTTGGTGTAGCTGCAAAGCCTGAAAAGCACGGAGATCTTCAACTTTGTAGTTATCTTTCTCTCAATATCTCTGTCCCCACAATACCCCATACCCGAAAAAGACTGGAACGCTTCCACCAGCAAGAAAACAAAAGCTGACCCTTTGCCAGGGACACGCCCGTGGGTGGGTACCTGGAGAGTGATGTTGAGGGGTTGGAAATGACACTCCTGGTCATCTAGTTGAAGGAAGTTGGATGCATCCACAGACTCGCCATACACAAAGGACGTTGGGGACACAATTCTGAAAGAGGAAAGCATGAACTCTGTCATTCCACCTGAGGTCACTGCTGGGCTGAGAACTCAAATATCGCCTCTCTTTCACGAGTGTGTCCCACAGATTTCTTCCTTGCTGGGTGCTCACTTCTCCGTCCTGTCAGTAGACACAGCTGACACATGGCTTCCTAATGGACATTTTTTAGGCCACGCTAATAGGCTACCTAAACGTTATATACTGAGACTATATCTCTTTGTATGTATGTGTGCATCTGTTTGTTCTCATGAGTGAACGCATAGGTATAGAGGTCCGAGGTCAACACAGGTGTCCTCCTTCCCTCTCCACATGATTTCCTGAGACAGACACTCTCACTGAATGATCTGCTTGTGCTGGGGTTACGGATGCTCATGGTTAACCCTGACTCTTTATATGGGTCTGGGGGAATCTGAACTCAGATCGTTGTGCATTTATTTTGCAAGCACTTCATTGACTGAGCCATTTCCCCAGGCATCATCCTAATTATGTTTTTAAAACAGGTTTTAAAAATCAAAAGTATAGCTGGGTGTTGGTGGCGCAGGTCTTTAATCCCAGCATCACAGCCGGGTCTCCTAAGACCTTGACAACGTGACTGACCGAGTGTGTGTGTGGGAGGTGTTTGGACTTCATCCCCAAGGACAAGGCCTGGTTCTGGGCATTAGACAGGATGGGTAAATGAACCACATGGTTAAAAACAGAGCTGTGAACACAGGCAACATTCGACATGTTGCAAATACATCCTGCCAGTGCCTCGTGTATAAGGACCATGCTATGAAATGCCAGAATGAGGGCATGGCTCCTGGCTCTGCAGCGATGGCCCCTCCCTCCATGGAGCCGCATCTCCCTTCTGGACCAAGGCTTAGATCCAGAAGCACTGAAAACTGAGCCATGAGAACCTGAACTTTCGGGAAGTTCAGCTTGCATTTGTGTTAAGGATTCATTGAGTTGCCGTTTGATCTAAACCGATTGTGTGGCCCCCACTCCGCCTCTCTGCTATCGAAGAAGTATGCAATCTGTTTGCAGAAGCCGGAGACAGGAACTGGGTTCTCATTTTTCTAAGCTTGAGCTCTGGCTGGAAGCTGACTCAGGTCACTGCATGTCCCCACAGTCCACAGTCAACAGCCCTGCTTTCCAACAAAACCAGTGGCGCCGACTGGCTGTGGACTTCACCTGGACGGGCTGGCTTTGCTGTTGTGATAGCTGTCTGTCTGATCCAGACCACCACAGATGTCAGGCAGAGCTCTTTGTGGCTGCGCTTAAGGAGGTAACAGACACACGAGAAGCCAGAACTAACGATGGAACTGGTCAGAAGGGCAGCCTTCCCGCGAGCTGAGGTTTGAGGAGCAACCTCTGGCCTTGCAGCTTTTGGTTGATACTTTGGTCCCATAACCACGGTGCCTGCCACTAGATAGCTAGCGTTCTGGGGGGATTGCGTGTGCCAGGGATGGGTGTGCTAGGGATAGGTGCACATAAAGACACAGAACGTTCAGAGAAATTGTGGGCTCTGAACTCCTCACCTCACTTCCCGTGTTGCTAGCTACGTGCCTGGGTGGCAGGGAGCAGCATAAGCTGGCATTTCAGGGCACCCTGCGTTCTGATGCTTACCCAGCGATGGACGTGTCCACTTCATGCACCAATGGTACCGTCAGCGTGAGAGCATTGTCATGCAGGGCTTCGGAGCGCTCCATGTTTCCACTGTGTGGGAAGGGAAGGGTGAAGGGACGGTGTGGTCAATGCATGGCACTTAGCAGTTGGCTTGCCTGCTCCATGCTACACATCAACCCTTATAGTCTGCAGATTCACTTTATCTGCTCCCATTCTGTTTGTGGCAGAGACCCCTGTTTGGAGGCATGTACAGCGACACCGGGCGAGCAGCATACATGGGAGGTGACACTTTCGGGTTACACGCTATTGTAGTATGTGTCTGTCACTCAGTGTTGCTCTCCTTGGTAGTAGGTTTTAATCTGTGCATGTTTACCTTTCCTTTTCCTGGAGTATACTTGACATTTGTTATCATTGTGTATAGTTTTTGCATCAGGCTTAAAAAAAAACCTTCTTCCTTAGACTAAAAGGGGAATTGTAGTGGTGTCTTGCCTGTGAACTTGTAATGGTGGCCACACCCCTTTGGGCGTGGCTTCAGGCAGATGAAAGCAGAAAGAGGAAAGTTTGAGGCATGGTCTCAGTGTCTCTCACGGTCTTTCTCTTGGGTCTGTGTATCGGATCAGAAGGGCAGGGAAACACTCCTGGGGTTTTTATTGTCTGTGTAAGTTGTTCCCCAATAAACACCCATTTACCATTTATCTTGGGTCTAGTGAAATCATTACCTCTTTGCCTTCACGCCATCACCAAGGGAAGTCAAGTTAAGGACTTTAAACATCATATTCGTACTCAAGAGCAGAGAGAAGGATGCACTCATGTAGCTTTCTCCCATCTAACACAGTTCAGGATGCCCTGCCCAGGGTCTGCTCACAATGGGCTAGACCTTCCCACATCAATCAACAATCAAAGACACTTCCCTAGGCTAATCTGACCAAGAGAATCCTTACTTAGTGATTGTGGCAAGCTGACGGTTAACACCAACCAGCACAAACTGTGGCCACTGAAGGTAGGACATGGGCACCAGGAAGGATGTTTGTGGACATCTCACCATGAGCCCAGGGGCAGAGGTCTCACCACTGTGGACCTACAACAGAAGCTTGGGCATCTTACAGCCCCTCCGCCATGAGCTAGAGGGAGCTGAGCCTCCAGGCAGCTCAATGAACCCCCAAGCCAGGGCTCTACTCACTTCGATTCAGTAGCAAATTAAACCCCAGTCAGGACCGGGATGTGTATGCCATGGCGAGTGGCTACCTTGGGAAGACATATGCTCTTGGGTTATGATGGCTGAACCAATGGGACACTTAAGGTTGGCTCTGTCTCATGAAATGCACAAAGGGTCCCAAATGAAAGCAAAGCTTTTCCTTCTAGGAATGGAAGATGGGAGCCCCGAGGCCCTCCCTGTGAGATCTGGGCAGGGCTCATCTTACCCACACCCTAGGCATAGCTCCCAAACATCTGCTAGCCTCACCTGCTCTGCCCCCAACACGCCTTCCGCCTCCACCCAGCAAGTGCTGAATGGCAACAGTACTAAAATAGCTCTCACATCCTTTCTCCTCTCTCCTATTGTTCTGAGATAAAGATGCTCCATGACTCTGACCATTCAGGGCCACTGTCACTGCCCCTGGATCCACATCTGTCTTCCGTAAATGGGATGACATCAGCCCCTCACAGGGTGTCCACAGCACATGGCGGCAGGAGCAGGTGCCCACATGACTAGATCCCTTGCCTTGCCTTTTCCAGGGAATAATCTAAGCATTGGAATCACTGCCAGGGCCAGTCTAGAGGTGACTTCCTTGTCAATGCTGTTGGTGCAACCCTTGCCCCATACCCTCCCTACACCCAGCATCCTTCCAGGCCTGAGTAATTGGCTCTTGATGGAAGAGCCATCCCTTCCCCTGTCATGTGTCCAGCCACCTGGGGCTGCTAGCAGCTCACACCCAATAGTGGTTTGATCTGTCATCAAGTAACCGCTCCAGAATGAGCCAAGTTGAAAAGCTGAGATAAAGAGGCTGAACATCAAACAACTTTCTGCCATTCCTCAATCTCTACATGCTGGGACTTTTCCAAGTGGGCTGCCAGACCAAGCTGCTGATGGTGGAGATGAGGGGTCATGAGACACTGTTTAGTCTCAGTTTGATGTCCTCTGAAAGCTGGAAGTAGGCAAGAGACCTTCAAAGTGTGCTGATGGAAGAGAGAAATGGCTGATGTTTTAACTCTCACATTTGAGATAAGGGGCTTTAAGGATCTGTCTGTTGTAGCAGGGAGTCAAGTATTTGTTAGGAGAAGAACTCTTGGGGTGGGTAGACCACATTCCCACAAAATCTCCAAGAAGTATGTCCAGTACGGCCGTGTGATCTCTTTAACATTTATGACCTAAGGAATTAGCTTTAAAAAAAAACTTTAGTAGGTCATGAACATTTAAAAATGTCATCTACACTTATCCCTGTAACTGGTAAATAGCTAACAGGTGTCTACCGAGCAGAGACCTTCAGGACTCTACAGATAAGTGGTTCTGAACCTAGAACATTAATTAGAACCATGGAGTCTTTCTCCAAACTCCTCCAGTTCTTACCCCAGACCAATAGATCCAAATCCCAGGTGTGGGTGGGGTGGAATCAGGCGTCAGCCAATTTCAAAGCTCCCCAGGTGTTTCCACTGTGTCTTCACGCCCAGCACGCCACTAGCTAATGAACCCGTCATTCTAAGAGAGAAAGGGAAGCTTTTCTCCACTGACCTTCTGCCCCTTGCCCCCTCTGGCCTTCCGGCGGGGAGTGAGGATAGAGGCGGGCTGTATCATTTTCTTTTTGACAAGGAAATCCTTCCCACACCCTGTTCGTTTTCATGACCACTGGGGCTGTGCTAGGCATTGGAGGACAGACAGCACACAATGGTGGGTATGCCCAACAATGCTGCATTTTCTGTGGATCTGAGAAGCAGCGGCAGGGTTCGGGTTTCAGTGGGCACCTGTGTCCCTGTAGTTGATGCAGCAATCACATAAGATGTGCTGAGCTGCTGAGCTGTGCCAGCGTGACCGTTAGCTTTGATTTTTAGACATGGATAACCTAGAAAGAGTCTCAGTAAGGGATCATCAGCATTGTGTTGGCCCGTGGATGTGTGTGTGTGTTGGGGGGGGTTGTCCTAATTAGTGTGTAAAGACTCAGTGCACTGTGGGCGTCAACACTCCCTAGGCAGGAGGTTTTGAACTGTGCGAGAGTGGAGGAACCCAGCTGAACGCAAGGCAGCAAGTGAACATACATGCACTCACTCTTCTCTGCTTGTTGCTGCAGGTGGATGCAACTGACTGCTTCAAGCTCCTGCCCATGGGCATCCCTGTCTCGATGGAACTGTCAAACAAGTATGTCCCTTTCTTTCCTAACTTGCTTTCTGTCCAGGTACTTTATCACAGCAATGGAAACGAGAGAGACTAGGGACTGGTGATCTCTTCAAGTGCTTGAAGGGACTCCTCACTGTCGTCAGAGTGTGGCTCAGACTCTCTTTCAGCTCCGTCTCTCATTACTGTGTGTGTCCCCCACCCTCCTTTTAGGGATGCCCACAAATACCCTTCACTGCCATGTCTCTCTCTGGTTCCCATGAACTCAGCACAGCAGAGTGTGCTTTCTGCTTCGGAATATGCCTCCTCCTCCCCCCCCACCCCAACTACCCTAGAGTCTCTCTTGAATTCTCGCTGCAGAAATGCAATCTGCCCTGTCTGCACTTTGCTTGTATTCTTTTCAGATCACAGAGGCGTTTCGTGTGAAGTTGAAAATAAGGCACACAGCAAATAACTTGTGAATCTGTGGGAAATGGCTGGAAGACACCTCTGAGACAGCTTCTGTAACTGGACCCATGGGCTGTGGATAAGATGTACCAGTGTTAAAGTTCCCGAGTTTGACAGCCACATGTGGCTTTGGTTCTTGGAGCATTCACAGGGAACATTTCTGGGTCAAGGGGCATGGCTTCTACAATTTGCTTTCAGATGGTCAAGGAAAACAATCTACATGGAAAGAAAGGTTGAATCCATGAATCAGAATGTCAACAGTTGGTGAACCTGGATAAAGGGTACACAGAGAATCCTTGAAGCATGTTTTAAACTAGAAACTTAGAGTTTTAAAATCATTTTAAGGTGTGTGTGCACATGAGTGTGCACGGGCACACACATGCTCACGCACACACACACATGTGCCATGTATGAGTATGGGTGCAGTGTCTGGGAAGCCTGGGGAGAGTCTCAGGTGCACTGGAGCCTGAGCTACAGACGGTTGTAAGTTGACTGAACTGGGTTCTGGGAATGGAACTCAAGTCCTCAGCAAGAGCAGCGGACCCTCATAACTTCTGAGCCATTTCTCTAGCCATGCAACTAGGAGTTTAAAGGAACATGTCCTTTAGGGTGTTCAAATGCACCTGCCTGCACCTCATCAAAGTCGGTCTGTCCCTACTCGCTACCCAAATGGCGCTCCCTTCACTGGAGCTGCCCGCCTTGATACCTAGATGTCGCTTCAAGGCATGTGTAGGCTGTGGCTCAAGGAGGCCGTTCATAAAGAAGGCCAGCTCAGACACTCACAGCTATACATATCCCCAGGGGGAGAAGTCACCATCCCCCACATGCTCCTCTGTCTGTCTACCTGGCTTCTGGGACAGCCCTGCCCTCTGGCTAGGTACACTACTTGGAGCCTGTGCCAGCTGGCTTCACCAGGCCCGAAGGCTGCAGGTAGCTTCCCCCTCCCTGTCAAACGATTCAGTGTGTTCCCCTCATGGCCTAGCCTGATGAGCCACAGAGAACATCGGGAAAACATGGCCAAGCAGGAACTGGACAATTAATTACGTGACCTTGAACTAGGAAGCCACCTCAGTGCTGCCTCTCCTCAGTTGTACGCGTCCCCATGACGAGCTGATCCTCAGCCTCCCAGGCTTGCCCAGAAGTGGTAACTAGGGGTGACGGTTAGTCCTAACTGGATTGGACCTAAGCTTGAGTAGCTTTGCAATCGCCCAGGAGACACACCTCTGGGCATGTCTGTGAGAGTGCTCCCGGGGAAGACTGACAAGGAGGATCATCTTCACTCAGTGGAGGTTAGATCCTCCCGTGGAAGCTCAGATGCAAGGGAGAACTGCGTGCAGACGCCTGCCTTCAGTCACAGCTCTGTGATCACTGGGTCACTGGAATGTAAGCAAGCAGCCTTCCCAGAGCATCGCCTTCCGTGAGTTCCCAGCCCGATGGACTGCCTCCCTTTATCCGCGAGCCAACATACACCTCTCCTCCCTTGTCCTTCTCCTCATCAGGTATTTGGCCACAGCAGCGAGAGAAGTTTCAAACACACTTGGCAAGCAGGACCCGATGACCACTCTGCCAGGTCAGACCCCAGCCAGAACCACGGGATTTATCACGCAGTAACCACTTCCATATCCCAGGGATGCCCACGGCGTGTCCTTTCCCGATCCTATAACGTTTGTGTCTGTGAAGAAAGTCTGTTTAAGGCCTTTTACCTCTGAGCGGTCACGATGAAGCTGAGAACTGCCTCTTCCCCAGACAGGTGGCTTGTGTCGAAGATCACACTGAACTCGTACTAAGGAAAAAGAAAGAAGTCACTTTTGGGCAACCACGAGCCATCCACATCGTGAACTTTGCTTTCTAGAATGGTCTGCAGTTTCTCTTCTGGAAGCCCATCTGCACAGCAAGTGTTACTTTTTAATGTGCATCTGATTTTCAGGCCCAAGGAGGCTTCCACGGCAGAGCCGTGCCCTTTCCCCCACTCTGGTGAGAGGCATGCCACCCCTTTCAGCCACAGGAAGGCCCGGAGGAAGTGTCACACTGCAAAAACCAGGGGTTTCTGACTTCACTTCTGTCCCCTTCCCAGGCTTTGCCGAGTTTACACATCATCTCATCAGCTGTGACGTTTATACGGTGGTTTTTAACTCAGGCAAACGCTGACAGATTGTGACTTGTTTAACATATCTCAATTGTTTTCCATTAAAGTCAGTTCTAGGCAGTTGCATGCTTTTTTTGCGGGGGGGGGGGGGACACCAAATTCTGTAAAACTGAATGCTACTGGAGAGAATGGGCATGAACCATTAAATCGGACCATTCCCCATGATGGGCACAAACATCCCCTTCCTAGACAGAAATCTGTGCGGCACTGGGACTTGGTTTCTGAGGATGAGGTATGAAGACAGCAGGAGGACACAAAAGAAGGACCTTGTCCCTGTAGGGTCAGAACTGCCAGAATGTCTGAGTTCAGTCAACCACACTGAATACTGGAATGAGGTAAGGGCACATGGCTTGGGTGGAAATCAAAACCAGAGGTGAAGGCATGAAACTGTCCAGGCTGGAAGTGAGGGCAGAAGCACACTGTCAATCAAAGTGAGCCTGAAGTGTAGTCATGAGGCCGAACCAGTGTCCTGACGCCCGATGACCCCGGGATTTGAGGACAGTGAGTGTGAGGGGCCGTGGGTAGGGGAAGCTCGGTCTTTGTATAACTTGCTGGGTTTTCTCCTCTCCACACCCTCACCTCCGGGTTTAGTCTTGCTATGGGTCTGCACATCTATATGTGGAATTTAAAAAAAAAAAATGATGGTCATTATGGTCATTGATGCTTATGATCTCTGCCGGAGAAACGGGGGAATCAATATTCTTTCAGTCTTATTTCTATTGACTTTATGACACTTTGAGAAACTCACGTGCCACTAGGAGAGACAGCCAGATATATTTATTTTGGGTTTGATTTGTGATATGAGCTAGATTTTCAAAGCAGAGTAGCGTGTTTAAGAAAGAGTGTGAGTTTCTTATATTTTTCGTTGTGAGCCTAGCCTTTAACGGCTGAGCCATCTCCCCAGCCCAAGTGTGAGTTTCTTAATGAAGTCTATTTTCTGTTACTCAAAAAATGTAAATGAAGTGGTGTGTGTGTGTGTGTGTGTGTGTGTGTGTGTGCGCACGCGTGTGCGCGCGCACGCTCATTCAGAGTACATACATGCTTTACCATGGTCAAAGCTACCCATAGTGCCTGGTCTTCCTCCTTGTGCCCCAGGTTGCCCTGTAGACTATGGGACACGGTACATCAAATGCAGTTGATGGGTTTGGGTGGTTTGCCAAGACATGAACAGACCTGATTTCACCTGATCTAAAACAAGGACCAGGTGGCGGGGGCCAGGTGGCCGGTGCCATGGAGCTTCTACCTTTTTTATGGAAGAAAATGCTAACTCAGAGAGTTTCCTTTAACGCCTGAACAGAGAAAATATCTACTGACTCAAAGGCAGTCCTGGCCTCTTTAGGGTCTAGCTTTGTTTCCACAAACCAGTCTGGTCATTTTTCCTAACCACAGCACACACTAGAGCACTCCACAAATAGCTGCTATTACTATGTGAGCTTAAGAAATCCGTCCCCTTCTAAACACCAACTTGACCGCAATGCCTTTAACTTTTCAAAATATGAACAAGAATACAGGTATTTCTGTTGGGAAAATTTGGGGGCATCTCCAGAAAATACTGAGGACCTGAAGGAATGGCAGAATTGGGACTGCGGGTCACTCGCTCTTGGGACACAGAATATCCCAGGAGAATAAAACATTTTAGGAAGGAACATTAACAAAGCACAAAGGTGTCTGTATGTCTTCCCTAGTTGGGGATGATGTGACTCAAAGAGACGAATCATGTCACCATAGAGCCCCTGGAGCAGAGCACCAGTGACAAACACATACCAGGGCTGGAATAGTCACTCAGCCACCTTGGGAGGCAGGGTGTGTGGTGTGCATGTGCGTGTGTGAGCATGTGCATGTGTGAGCATGTGTACGTGTATGTGCATGTGTGCGTGTTTGTGTGCATGTGCACATGTGCATGTGCGTGTGTGAGCATATATGTGTATGTGCACATGTGCGTGTGCGCACATGTGTGTGTGTGTGTGTTAGCATGCACATGTGTGAACATGTATGTGTATGTGCATGTGTGCGTGTTTGTGTGTATGTGCACATGTGCATGTGCGCACATGTGTGTGCGTGTGTGTTAGCATGCACATGAGTGAACATGTATGTGTATGTGCATGTGTGCGTGTTTGTGTGTATGTGCACATGTGCATGTGTGTGCACAATCACGTGCACACGTGTGTGCATGTATGTGTGCGTGCAGCAATAAGTGACCAATGGGAAGAGCTGGGGGCAGTGGCTTAGGAAGCACCCATCCCTGTCAAGGGCCTCACCTTGGACTTTGACCTCATGAAAGGAAATCCCACACTGCATTTGAGAAAGTCTGATTCCAGCAGCTCACAGGAAACACCCATCTCCTCCTGAAAGGGAAAAATGTCCACAGGTGACTAGACTGCATGAAGACAGAGGCATAAGGGGGCCCCAGGGAGGCCGTTGGGTCCTTGAGAGCAATTTCCTTGTCCCCGGCTGTGGTGCGCTCAGGAGCGCTGAGGCCCGAGCAAGCCTCCCATTCCTCTTCGGATGTCTGCCCACTTCTGCAGGGTTTCTGGGACAGCTGGAGATCACAGGACTATGGATCAATGTGGGCCAATGCTTTAGGTCTTAACCATTGTCATCAACTCAACCAGATCTGGAATCACTAGGAGGCCAGCTCTCAGCATGCTGGTGAGGATGTTTCTAGAAGGATTTAACTAAGAAGACCCACCCTGACTGTGGGCAACATTATCCCATGGGCCGGGTTACAGACTGAAGAGGGGCCAGTAAGATAGCTCAGTGGGTAAAGGTGCTTGTTGCTATGACAGATGACCTGAGTTTAATTCCTGGGACCCACATGGTAGAAGGAAAGAACCATTTCCTCTAAACTGTGCTCTGCTCTCCCCAGATGTATCTGTGGTATACACATATACACACAAAATAACTAAATAACTACAATGAGTTTTTTTCTTTTCTTTTCTTTTCTTTTTTTTAAGGAAAAATTGATCTGAGCACCGGCATCCATCTCCCTCTGCTTCCTGACTGCAGATGCATCATTACCCACCACCACCTGCTGCCAAAATGAACCCTCCCTCTCTTAAGCTGCTTTTGCCAGGTATTTTGTTAGCAATGAGAGAAGAAATAGGCTAAACCCAAGCTGCCCTGGTAAGCTGGACTGGACCCCAGGTGGGCTGGAAGCTTCCTAACGCCTGTACTAAAAAGTAACCTATATTTCTGTCTCTTTTATCCCAAGTCTAGTGTCTTAGAGTTTCCATTGCTCTGAAGAGACACCATGACCATAGCAACTCTTATAAAGGAAAACATTTACAGTTTCAGAGATGTAGTCCATTGTCATTATGGAATATGGGTATGGCAGTGTGCAGGCAGACATGGTGCTGGAGAAGGAGCTGAGAGGTCCACATCTTGATTGGCAGGCCACAGGAAATGAACCGTCTACCACACTGAGCACAGCTTGACCAAAGAACGCCTCAAAGCTCATCCACACAGTGATGCACTTCCTCCTACAAAGGCACACCCACTCCCACGAGGGCACGCCTCCTAATAGTGCCACCCCCCATGGGTACCATTTTCTTTCAAACTACCACACCTACCCACTGAACACCCCTTTCAAGATCTTGCTAACTAAAGAAATACAAATTATTCGAAAACGACATCTTTTTCATGGCAACTCCTAGGCTGTCGGCTGTGACAAGATGAAGCTGAATTATCTCCTTCTCTGCCACCAGCTGTCAGAAGCTCACTGAAGTGGATGATGAACACAAGTTTTGTACGTTTTATGAGAAGCCACAGAAGTAGCTGCCGATGCTCTGGGTTATGTGGTCCCAATCAGTGGTAGAAATGACAGACAAGGTTTTCCCATGAAGCAAGGGGTTTTGACCAAGGCAGAGTGTGCTTGCCGTTGAGTAAGGGCCATTTCTGTTATAGACGAAGGAGAACTGGAGAGAGGAAGCCCAGGTCTGTTAGCAAATGCATGGTGGACGCCAATCTAAGTGTTCTCAACACAGCTATCATACAAAAAAGAGGGAAAGGTATCCCTGGACTGACAGATACTACTGTGTCTCATCAGTTGGGACCTAAAAGAGCTCGCCAAATCTGAAAGATTTTTAACGTCTCTAAAGAAGATAATGTCCACCATTCTTTGTCAGAAAGCACTTACACAAAGGTCCGAGGCCCAGGACCAACACATCCAAGATTCAGCATCTTGTTATCCCATGTGTCCGGCAACACAAACACTGATGGATTGCTCTGAAGAAACAACACACTAAGAAAAACAGAGGAGGTTGCAGAACATGCTAAACTTTTGGCCAAGAGAACGCAGGAAGCCAAAGAAAAGCGCCAGAAGCGGATCGCCAAGAGACACAGGCTGTCCTCCCTGAGAGCTCCTTCTCTAAGTCTGAGTCCAGGCAAAAACAAGCATTTAAGGGTAACAAATAATCATACCTTGAAAAGACAACAACAAGACAAACAAACAAACAAACAAACAAAGCATGCCAAGGAAAAATGGGGTTTCTTTCCATAGCTCAATGTAGAAGCTCTCCCAGGGTGGAGGGTAAATGCCAGGGTGAGGTGATTTTACAGGCTTCCCAGCCTTGGCTGGACTCTGCACACACTGTGCTGGGAGGCTACAGGGAGCTGCTCTCGTCTCACTCAGGCACAAGGTTTCTAGCTGAGGTCAGGGGAAATTCACAGGCTCCCCTGCTCTCCTGGGACAAAATTAGAACAGCCATGGCACTGACAGTCTGGACACAGACGAAAAGTAGGAGGAACCAGTACCTGTTGAGTGCCAGCCTTGTGTCGCGTCTCACGTCTGGAGGCTGACGTTCACTGACAGCCATTCAGCAGATAGGCCCAAAGCCAGAAAGAATTTGGATAGTACTTGGCAAATCTGGAAGCAACCTCCTCACTACTTCCATGGCCTCTATCACCCAGAGAACCAGCCCACAGACTCGGGCACCGAAAGGCCTCCATGCCCCTTTTGGCCAAATTTCTTCCCTTTTTAATTGCATCAGGGTCTCATACAGCCCCAATTGGCTTTGAACTCATTATGTATCTGAGGATATCCTCCTGCTCCTAATCCTGATCCTCCTGCCTCTACCTCCTGGGATTGCCAGCATGCACCACCATACCTGGCTCCTCCACCCAACTTTCTGGGTCTGTGTTTTTTTTTGTACTACTGTGGTGATTTGGAAAAGAAAATGGCACTATTAGGGGTTATGGCTTTGTAGGAGTAGGTATAGCCTTGTAGCAGGAAGTGTGTCACTGTGGGGGTGGGCTTTGAGGTCTTCATTGCTCAAGCTACTCTCAGTGTGGTAGACAGCTCACTTCCTGTTGCCTGCCGATCAAGATGTAGAATTCTCAGTTCCTCCTGCATCATGTCTGCCTGCATGCCACCATGCTGATAATGGACTAAACCTCTGAAACTGTAAGCCAGCCCCAATTAAATGTTTTCCTTTATAAGAGCTGTTGTGGTGAGGGTGTCTCTTCACAGCCATAGAAACTCTTACTAAGACGACTTCTATAATTTTTTCTATTGAAAATATGAACACGCACACCAGATGGTGATGGCATATTGTTCCTGTGGAGGCTAGAAAAGGTCAGCAGATCCCTTGGAGCTGGAATTACAGGCAATCATGAGCCACTATGTGGGTGCTGGGACTCGAACTCAGGTTCTCTGTAAGAGCAGCAAGTGCTGTCAATGGTTGAGCCATCTCTGCAGCCCCGGGATTTTTTTTTTCTTGAGTTGGGAGTCAGTAATATAGGTTTGATAATTTTGTGAAAATTCATGGAGTGAAATTTAATGACTTAGGTACCTTGTTTTAAACATAAAAACAATTTATCCTATAAAATAGCAATGCTGTATAACATCCAAAATTCCAAGTACAACCAAGGAAATGACAAGAGATACATATAAGAGGAAACCACTGCAAGCCTTTTTAGTACTTAGAAATAACTGATATAGCTGATTTTAAATTTCCTGATGACTGGTTATGCCCAAAGGTAGTGCTGTTCACATGGAGACCCAAGACCACTTGCATTAATATCACCTCAGAAACATTTGGAAATGCATTCTTCAGCTACAACTCTATTGAATATGTACCTCTAGGAGACTCAGGGGTCATGGGACCTGGGATGAACACTGGTTCATTCATAGTTCTCTTCCTTTCCCAAGCCCCTGCATGTGTGAATGTGTTTTGAAACTGGGTCTCATATATCCCAGGCAAGAAGACTGTGCTGGCAAGATAGTCAGTGGGTAGAGACTCTTGCTACCAACCCTGATGATTAGGTTCAATTCCCAGGACCTACATGGTGGAAGGAGAGAGCTGAGATACACACACACACACACACACACACACACACACACACACACACACCTATGCACGCACGCATGCACAGAGACATGCACACACACATGCACACACACAGGCATGCACACACACGCACGCGTGCGTGCGTGCGCACACACACACACACCTATGCACGCACGCACGCACAGAGACATGCACACACATGCACACACACAGGCATGCACACACACGCACGCACAGAGACATGCACACACATGCACACACACAGGCATGCACACACGCACGCATGCGCATACACATTTTTGAAAGGTAAAGGTATAGGGCTTCATTTATTAAGAAAGCTTCAGCCGCAGTAGCTGTTCATCCAATACTTTGTTGCTCTTCTGGCACTGTTACTGTATTTTAAAAAACAGATCTACTTATTTTGTTATTTTATGTGTGTGGGTATTTTTCCTATATGTATGTATGAGTACAATGTGCATGCCTGGTGCCCTCAGAGGCCAGAAAAGGGCACTGGATACCTTGGGACAGATGGTTGAGAGCAGAACTGCCATGTGGGTCCTGGGAATCAAACCCGGGTCCTCTGAAAGAGCAACAAGTGCTCATAAGCACTGAGCCATCTCTCCAGCCCTGGCAGTGTGTTTAAAAGAGGCTAATCAACACATCAAGCTTTTACATTGGGTCTAAAATATCTTTCAATGTCATAATTACAAAGTACCAAGTGATTTTAAATGTAGCAGAAAGCCAACCTGTTTTCACAAATTTCTATTTATTTTGCAAGCAGAGTCCTAACAAAATATTTTGAAAATAATTTGACTATGAAATCTTGGACTGGACTTCAGGCCAATTCACTAACTGGCTCTTTTCCCAGCCCATTTTTTTTTTCTCTCCCTGGCTAGCAAGGACAGCTGACAGGGTCCCTCTAGCAATCACAGGTAATCCAATTGAAATTTCATAGCAATACACACTATTCTCAAGATAGGAAATCATCAATTAATTAAAAAAAAAAACCCACAATGACAGAAAGCATCCTTGGTCTGCACACACATGCTTCTGTATTC